ACCGTGAATGATTTACAACTACGCCCACAACCTGTATGAGTTTCAGCTAGAATGCGGGGGTGGGGGCAAGAAACCAGACGCCAGAGTACACCCTGCGTGCAAGGTGTCAGCCTAAGTGTCAAAGCCACCGTGGGTGCTAGAGGTCAGGACCTGGGGGGGGCAGTGGGGGTTGGGGCGACAGTGATGGCAGGGGGTGGGGATAAGGTGCACTTGAACACCTTTTTTGGGCATGAATGTTGTACTTTAAAAACCTCAAAATGACAAAAGCCAGTATGATAAAAAAAATCTTAACATTTAAAAAAAAATCCAAAGTTGTGGTTTCTTTCAAAAAATCCGATGTTCTAGAAACCCGAACGCTCGTTTGTTCTCAGTGGTAAGGGGAGGCTGGCTGTGCCCCGGCCCCCAGAGCTCACTTAGCCCAAGCACCACCTCCCTGGCACTGGGGCTCTGAGAGAGGATGCGGTTTGCCTGAGGCCCCACACAGCCACGTGGGGGACAGAGCAGTGGCTGAAACCCAATTTCAGGGCCCTCAGGCCATCTTCCCATGCAGGTTAATGTCATTTGGGCTGGAGGGAGGAAATGTCACCTTCAAGCTGACGCTGAAGTCTTTCTACGACCACAGCGACGGGGACCAGCTGGCCCTTCCCCTCTGGGGGCTAATTCCGTACACGGCCAGGGACAGGGCATTGTTTCAAGTCGTACTGCTCTCAATTTTTCTCTCCTTTTTAAAGCAACTGGGACCCACTGGGAAAGGAGTACTGGCCCCCAGGGTGAGTTCTAAGCAGAAAGGTGACGGCAGCCGAGAGCAGAAGCCCTGGGTACCCTTCCCAAGATCCAGGAGACCTGGGGACATTCATGCAGGCCAGTGAATCACAGCAACACAGAAATGGAAAATCTGGGGTTCAGCTCCCTCCACAACCTGGGCCCTCTTACTGCAACCAGTTTCCCAGGGGTGACTTCTGGGAGCAAAGCTGATGCCTGCAATCCCACCACGGAAGTTTCCATCCCTGCGGCCTTTGCTCTTCCTCCGAAGGGCCCTGCTTTGCTACTACCGGTCCTTGGCACCTCGCTGTGGAAACCTTGCTGACGGCAGGTTTTCTAAGGTGGGAGGAAGAGCCCTCATAGACGGCTAGACACCTGAGATCTGAAGGTCGGGGTCGGGGAAGAACAGGACAGTGGGGAGCAGGGAAGGCTCTAGTCCCCTCCACGAACGCGTGTTACGCACTTTCTGTGCTCGGGTGCAGTCCTTGCCCTCCGGAGATGGACAATGAACCAGGATGGAGTGGCGCATAAATGTCCTGGGCACGCAGAAGAGAGAGCAAGCTACCCAGATGCGAAGAGGGTTCAAGTCGCTTCCTCTGGCCAAGCCTCAGTTTCCTTATCTGCACAGTGTGGGTGACAGGAGTGCCTGCAGAGGAGGATGGTCATGGAGATGGGAGAAGAAAATCAGATAAAGCACTAAGCATAGTGCCTGCCATGCAGAAGGTGCTCAATAAATGCCAGGGGGGAGGGGGTCTCACCGTTGCCCATGGGGCTGGCCCCGGCCTGGTCGTTCTCAGCCAGTCTCACAGCTGAGTGTCATTGGCCCAGACACTGGCAAGCTGCTTCGCCCTCCCTCCCTGGGGAACTCGGTTCCCCAGCCCCGAGCTCTAGGAGGGCAGGACCTTGCTGCTTACCTCCCCGGTGGGTCCCCAGCACTGATAAGGCCTGCACTGGTGACTGAACACATGCATCTTTGAAGTCCAGCTCAAAGGGCGCCTCCCCTCTGGAGCCTCTGCCTGCCCCTCCATGGGCTCTGGTAGCCCCTGTGTCCCTCGTGAGCACGTCAAGGGCAGGAGCAGGGTTTTCTCCTCCACCCAGCACCCGGTACTGAGTGTGGGCTCAGTCGGAACCTGCCAGAAGGAATCGATAATGGAATACTACTCAGCCATCAAAAAGAATGAAATCTTGCCATTTGCAACAACGTGGATGGAGCTAGAGGGTATCAAGCAAAGCCAAATAAGTCAATCCGAGAAAAAGAATGATCATATGATCTCACTCATATGTGGAATTTAAGAAACAAAAGAGAGGAGCATAGGGGGAGGGAGGGAAAAATAAAACAAGATGAAATCAGAGAGGGAGACAAACCATTAGAGACTCTTAAGCATAGGAAACAAACTGAAGGTTGCTGGAGGGGAGGGAGTGGGGGAAGGGGTAACGGGAAGATGGGCATTAACATATGATGGAACGAGCACTGGGTGTTATACAAGACTGATGAGTCACAGACCTATATCTCTGAAACCAATAATACATTATATGTTAATTAATTGAATTAAAAAAAAAATACACAGGTGGACCGAGCAAAGACTGGGAGAGCAGGTGGTGGGAGTGAACGAGGAGGTAAAGGATCTGCTGACAGATCCAAACGCCGAGCCTCCTGTGGCCACAGGGGAGGCCTTGCTTCCTGGTTCCTCCCTGCCCCTCCCCCCAACCAGAAAAAACAAGGGGGTCCTCCGTGCCTCCTGGCTTTGCGGGGACCATTCCAGCTCAGAGGAGCCATGTGAAGAGCTGGCTGGCCAGGCAAGCTCCATCCTCTCCTGGGTCAGAGCAGGAGGGGATCCCTGAGGACGTGGGCCGGGAGCCTGGTGGCTAAGGGATGGAGCGAGCCGCCTGAGGCGCCCTCCCCCTAACTTCAGGCTGTAGGTGGGGTCCTGGCGAGGGGTCTGCCAACCCATCAGCGAACAGAATTTAAACATGGGTCCAATGTATAGTTGCTACTTCACAAATTCACATAAATGCAGTTATAAGGAATAAAACCTGCTCCTCTCCCATTGCTGTCTTAACTCTGCAGCAACCTTTTGTCCTTGGGCATTTTCTGAATCACCAGATGATAGACAGCATGGGCGGGGGCTCAGTCCTCGAGCCCACCCAGCCTACCTCCTGGTGACCGTGCCTCCAGGTCCCACAGGAGCAGACCTCGGCCACTGGACGTGCACCTTGCAAGTCAGCTGCTCTGGTTGCAGCTGATTGGACCAAGGGTGGTCACCTGACTCAACCTGGGCCAATCAGACGCTTCCTCTTAGCACGTGCCTCCTCCAGGCTGTGTCCTGGATTTGGGGCTCATCAATTTAGCTGCTGAGGGCAGCCATCTGCCTCCTGGATGGGGAGTGAGCAGATTGGCAGTGAAGGAAGACGGAGAAGGGTCTCTGAGGGCCTTCCATCTGGCTCTCACTCCTTCCCGAGGCCCTGCTGCCCTTGGTCAGTGGGAATCCCCCATGCATCTTTCCATGGTCTCCCCTTTCCCCTTCAGCAGGCAAGGTGGGCCCTAACAACGTTAACAACTGCACCACACTTCCCAGGTTGGCATGAAGTAGGTGGCTTGCATTTGAAAGGGTCCAGAACTAATGGTCTAGGCTGCAGGAAACCCCACACTTCTGTAATTCAAAGTGATTGTGTGTTAAAGCAACATCAGAGGAGATCTGACTTCTATGCGTAACAGGAATCTTGAAAAATAGACCAGGAAGGGGCATATTTATCCCTCCTTCTAAAGACAGCGTTTAATAGCCTCCTTTAAAAAGAAAAAAAATCAACCAGGCACTCTCTTTAATTGGGCAGATCTCCCTAACAAAATCATGAGAGCAACATGTTCCTCAGCCCTTCCCATATGTCAAAAGATCTTGTTACTTTTCTCTCTGAGGCGCTTGCCATCAAAAAAGAAACATGCAAAAAAAAAAGAGAGAAACAGATGCTGTAATAGATAGAAAATCTGGAAGGAGTGGCTAGACCGAAGAGGCCACTTGTATTTGGGTTGGGATATGAGGGCCGGGGTCAGAGAGAAGCAGGGAGGGGTGAACCATGGGAGTTCATAGTTTGCTGTGTGGCCTTGGACAAGATTCTCCCGTCTCTGGGCCTTTTTGGTGAAATGAGCTGGACTCCGGTATGCTCAGCTCCCTTCTGTGGGGGCTTTGTAGACCCAGAGAGGGCCATCCTTGCCCGAGGGCTCCCTCCTGGGCACCCACAGATGGCCCTGGACCCCCTCACATGCAATGCAGCCAAGAAAGCAAAAGAGCAAAGGACTAAGAGCTCTGTCCCAGTCCTCCTTGGTGCCTCTTACTAAAGCCGTTACTTCTGACCATTTACCAGGGAAGCTGTCTCCATCATCCCCTGGACGCAAAGCCTTGGACCCACCTAGAGCTTTTTAAATGTGGATTCATTCCAATTAAAATTGGAAAATTTCACATAGGATCCAGGTTTCTGACTCTTCTTGAAATATTGGATGATCTGGCAAAACGGAGGCTCACCCCTAACATGGTAAAGTTCGCTGAGCTAGGTGGTGGCTGTCACTTGGGAGGGAGCACCTGCTCTGCATGACACTGCAGTCTACACAGGAGGGACCACGCATTCTGAACTGCCTGGGACGTGCGTCTTTCAGTTTTAAAACCAGATAGCCCGAAGGCCAAACCTGGGCGGTTGGTGACCCTTGTCCCCACCCAGACCATATGCTCATTTGTGCTCCCTGTCTGGCCCTGGAATTGGAGTTTGGGGGGCCCCCTGTTAATGATATGTTAATGATATGTTAATAATACATTGGTCATACACTGCCCCCCGTTCTTTTGCCACTCTAGCCCCTGACCCTGTTGCATGTGATGCCCCCACCTGCTCTCCACCCCGGACACCCGCTTTGTTCTTGCCTGGTAGCCAAGACCACTCTGCCCACCTGTAAGGGAAGGAAGTGCGGAGGCCCGGTGCTCCTGAGAGCAGCTGTGAGCCGGTCTGAGGGAGCAGAGGGCCGGCAGCGGCTGCCTTGACCTTAGGGGAAAAAGACACACGGGGTGGCCTCCAGGGTCCCCCGTGGGACTGAGTGCCTACTGCTTATGGTGATCACAACCCTCCCATCACAGCTCCTTCCCTCCTGACTCACCTCGACTCTCCTGCTCATGTATCTTGGACCACATTTATCATTTATCCCTCCAATATACATTTATCCCTCCTTCTAAAGACAGCGTTTAATAGCCTCCTTTAAAAAGAAAAAAAATCTTTTTTTTTCTGGTTTAAAAAAAAAAAAGATAAATGTATCTTGGTTCGAAAACCCAAATTAAGCCCACTGCGCAATCGCCAGCACACGGAGCGGCACTCAGAAAAGCCTTTTTGAGCAAATCCGTGAAGCAGCGGGTTTCCCGACGTATGTGAAGTCTTCCTGATGGCTGAGAGGGGCACCCGTGGGCCCAGAGTCAGACCTGGACTCCAGCACGTCTGTGTCACTTGCCAGGGTCCGTTACTGCCCCTCTGAGCCTCAGGTCCCTCATCTGTGAAATGGGAATACCCCTCACTGGCCCCACAGCGTGGTTGGGAGGCCGAGGGGGGCGTTTCCGCTGATGTTACTGGCATCTCCTCTACCCAGACCTGAGGACCCCCCCACCCAGTCTCACATTGAGACTGTCAGCACCACGAGGGGCAGATGCCTGGGGGCTCAGGCCTGTTCTGTCCAGTGCACAAGAGGACGTACCCACCAGACAGAGCCGGTCCTCCTTCCAGGTGAGAAAGGCCTGGCAGACAAGCTGTCTGAAATTGACTCCGTGTGAATATTTTCCACCAACCACTGCAGAAGCAGAGTTCTGATAGAACATCCTGGAATAGTTCCTGGATCTCGGGGAAAGAGCCAGGCAGAGGCAGGCAATCTGTGTTCAATAGCTCAGCGCTGGAGGCCTGAGTTCTCCCTCTCCAGCGAGGGTTAGCTGCTGCGGGGAAACTAGACATCAGAGTGGTGGAGGCACTGTGTGTGTCTCGGTGGCTAGCACCCACCCCAGCCTCCATCACTCTCTATCCTGGCTACACTGGCCCAGTGAAAGCTCCCAGTGCAGAGCCTGCCTTTGTACCACAGGGCCTTTGCATAACCTAGTGGTTTCCTATTTCTCCTTACAAAGTTTGGGAGTCCCTAGGCCTCCTCACTTCTGATACCAACTGCAAGTGTTTGGGGGCCCCCAAGATCACCCTCAGATTTGATAATTTGCTAGAAGGACTCAGAAAAGCCATTATACTCATACCATTACCATTGCCTACAATGAAAAGATACAGACGAAAATCAGCAGAGGGAAGAGGTGCATAGGGCAGAGCATCCCCTCGTCCCCTCTCAAAGGAACTGTGTGGAGAGCACTTATTTCTCCCAGCACTGATAGGCAACAACATGCCGGGACTATTGCCAGACAGAGATGCTCACCGGAGCCTTGATGCCCAGCTTTACTGGGGCTCGGTGATGGGGGGGCATGGCTGACCACCTGCCCGGCTAACCTGAGTCTCCAGCCCCTGCAGAGGTCTCCAGTGGAGACTGTGCACCCCCCCACCATAAATCACATTTTTGCATAAATTATACACAGTGGCCCCAGGCTCCCGAGAAAGACTCTCTTATCAAGCAGGACATTCTGAGGGTGTTAAGGTCACCTCCCAGGACAAAAGCCAATTTGGTCAAGGATAATCCTTTGCACTGTTCTCACAAATAACCACACACACAGTGGATTAACATTTACCCTGGAGTCTGAAGTTTGAAAAGAATCTTATGGGGCTAAAATTAAGGTGTCTGCAGGGCTGGTTCCTTCAGAGGCTCCAGGGGAGAAGCCACCCCCACCTTTCTGACTCCTAGAGGTACCAACATTCCTCGGCATTCCTCCGCTCACGGCCACATCCCTCCATCCCTACAGCTCCCCCCTCCAAAGCCACATATCCCTCTGCCTCCCTGTTACAAGGACCCTTGTGGGTACACTAGGTCCCACCTGGAGAATGGGGGACTAGGAGAATGGGTTACACTAGGTCCCACCCGGACATGGGGATGTCAAGAGTCTCACTCACACCCACAGAGTCCCTTTGGGCAGAGCAAATAACATTCACAGTGTCAGGGATCAGGCCTGGACGTCTCAGGGGCCATTATTCAGCTGACCACAGTTCTCCCCCAAATGCCCCCGTCTTTCCCGGAGGACGGTTCCTCAGCCTTGCGATTGCAGCCTAACCTTTATCCTCCACGGGGGGCTTTTCAGAAATTTGAGGTCAGGGTGTGGAGTTGGAGGATTTCCCTGTAATTTCTCTCTTGTCAGTTTCCCCGAGCCGCAGTCAGCAGGCTGGCCCTACAATGTGATGTGATGTCAGCAATTTAGCCCAGCACATCTGAGGGGTGCAATCAACCCTGGTTCTGGGCCTGCCTTCACTCCCCCCACTCCAACCCTGCAGCTGGAGCTTTGTAAACCAGCAGAGCTGGATGGCCCAGTGAGCCCATGCATCTCACAGACCTCCTCATCCAAGGCCACCCTGACAGATTTTCTCATTTCCAGGCACGACCTAGGGTGGATTTCTCAATCTCCTTGTTTTCTATTTACCTATCAATAAGATCTTGAAGGCATGTGCATAGATCCAAATTTGAGGATGAATTTGAGCTGGCATCATTGTTTAAAAGTCAAAGCCAGAATGTGCAACTCGGACATCTAAAAATAAATACGCTGATCTCCCCGAGTCCCCTGCTTGTGGCCACCAGCCCCAGCCCCCCTACCGGTATGAACCTCTACACTGCGAAGTGCTTTGGAATCTTTTCTCCAAAGGAGGGCATACCCTTCCCGTGTAAGTAAACCCAGGGAAGCCCATCTGAGCTGACTCTGTTGTCTGCAACACAGCAATAAGTACTGTTTCTTAGTTCATATTTTTAAAAATCAACCTCCAGCAGCTTGTCTCTTCTTAGCTTTGGGAAAAATGCATGACATTTGGGTTTTGACAAGCCGTGTAGCTGAGCGATGAACAAGGCAGACAGTGCATTCAGAATGTCTAGGTTGACAGCCTGGGTCCGATACACCTGCGCGATTTGGGGCGAGTTACTTACACTTCCCGGATCTCCGTGTCCACATCTGTAGAATGGGACCGAACCATCACAGCAGCTACTGCCCAGGGCGGTTGGAAGGATTAAACGAGTTAATCCCTGTAAAGAGCTTAGAATAGCTCTGGGCACGCAGAGGTGGGCTGGCCAAGGTGTTTCCAGCTGCCTGTGAGGGAAGCCCTGATGTTTGCTGATGCCCAGTGTCCCTGGTGCAAATACCTCCATCACGGCTGGTTGCAAGCTACAATGTGAGGTCACCAAACGTGGAGTTGGGAGGGGGTGAGCGCCGCTGGATCGTGTAAACCGGTTCTAGCCGGCTCCAGCACACCACTAAGTGCAGAGGCCCCCGGGGAGTGTTCGTTAGTCCGGGGTGTCAAGTGCGGTCCCAGACCACCTGAGGCCTTGTTAGCAATGTAGATCCTCGGGGCCCCCTGGGTCAGAAATGCTGGGGGTGGGCCCAGCCATCTGCATTGTAACACGCCCTGCAGGTGGTTCTGCGCATGCTCAGGTGTCAGACGTGCTGAGCGAAGTGTGAGCCTCGGTCTGTGTGTGTTTTAATACATTCCAGTGACTATGTAGCAATTAACATAACAATTGTTCCTCCTTGTGCTCTGACGTCACTGCCCCAAGTCGCCAGTCTCATATCCATCACGTTCAGGAAGACTGACCTCATCCCAAGGGGACACTGAGTGCCAGAGAAGCGAAGGGACAACCTCAGGGCCACACAGCGTGAGCTGGGCAGATGGGCTGGCCGTCCCCTTCGTGCGGCCCTCAGTCGGCAGATGGAGTCGTGGGGCCTCCTCCCTGGGCCAGCCGGGGCCCCAGGGGAAGGGACCGTCAGGTCATCCCAGGGTGGAAATCAGAAACCCTGAAACAGGAGCCCAGAAGCAGCGTTTCAGAGGGGAACCCCAGGGCACCGTGAAAGTGGCCTCTGGAGTGAGCCGTTCCTTTTTCAACGGAAAGGGCGCATCATAAATAATTAAATAGCTATCCTGTCCTGTCTTTACAATGGGTTCCCCGGGGTTCCCAGAGCATTTGCGGATGTGGAGATGTGGATCATCACTGCCAGGGGTCCCCAAGATCAGGTCCTCACCACCAGGGGTGCCCAAGGTCGGGTCCTCACCTCTAAGGGTCCCGAGGGGGCAACACTTATCCCAAGTAGCATCTGTACCTTCTTCCTCCTGAAGTCCAGGTTTCACCACTCGGCTTTGGGATCCCAGGCAAATAGCTTCTGAGCCTCCATATTTTCCAATCCCGCCGCCCTCACAGATGAGCACGGTGTATGCTTGTCACAAACATCGCAGGCCCTCGGTTAAAATGGTAGCCACTCTTGCATGGGAAGCGTTCTCGCTCCCCTTCCCCAACCCCCCCCCAAGTTTCCCATGTCAGCATGGAGGTTTGGCGGCCCCCCGGGCTGCATGGGAGGCCCCGAGCTAGCGCTTTCCCACACAGAAATGAAGCCTGAGAGCCTAAGTTAATGTGACTGCAGACTTTCGGGCCTAATGGCCATTGTCAAGAAGAGCCTTTTAGAAAAACTTTCAAGCCCGAGCCAGGTTTTAAGGCCCCTGTGGGCTTGTTAAAGCCAGCATTTTCCCCCACAGCCAGGCAGCCCCAGGGAGGGCAGCCCACACAGCGCCCCCCCCAGAACTCTCCAGCACTCCCCTGGGGCGGGTGGACCCCTCCCTGCTCCCTGACAGCTGTCGTGCGTGCCCCCAGCCTGCTCCCAAAGGCCTGGTCGGGTGGGTGGGGGTTTTCTCTCCCTCTTTCAGCCCAGGAACAGCCCCAGCCCCCAAGGCCAACTCAGCACAATGCACCAGGCTGGGGAGGTCAGAGCCCTCCCACAGCATCTGCTCCTGGTGAGCATAAATCCGGCGAATCCTGGGGGGGAGGGGGGCATCTCCATGTCACGCGGGGTGGGGGTGCTGGGCCCAAAGGAGGCCTCGAGATGCTCCTTGGGGAAAGCAACACACACAGGCTTGCTTTTCCTTAGATGCTCTGTAGCGCTATGGTAACAGCCAGTGACACAGGCAGCCGGAGAGAATGTTCTAGAATCTCTAAAGAGCCTGGCAGGAGCGAGCTGGGCCTGGAGACCGAGCTGGGGGTGTCTGTCCGGGGCATTCCCACACCTCTTGCTCCCTTGGCAAAGGAGCCAGCCTGTGGGGCAAAGGGCTCCCTGCCCCCCACCGCCCCCCGCCGCTCCACGCTGTCCAGAACAACTAGAATGTGCTTTCTGGAAAAGATGCTGGTGCCTCTTCCTTAAATATCCAAATCTGGGGCCTCTTTTGAAAATCAAAAGGTCTGAGAACACAGGACCACCACCATGTGGGGCGAGAGCTGCCCTCTGAAGCAGGGCACGACCTCTTCCCTGGCCACCGTCCCCACCTCTCCGTGCTGTCCCCTTGGCACTCAGCCTCCTTCCCTGCCCCCTGCCCCTGCCCAGAGAGGGCACAGGAGGGCCAGATGAGATGCAGGCGGCTCTCCCAGTTAGGAGCCACAGACCGCGGAACGAGGAAGGCAGGGAGGGCTCGGAGGGTCAGGGATGTGCTCATCTGCTGTTTGTTGAGCCCCTCACACAAGTCGGAGCTTGAGGAGCAGACAGCCTGTGATTCTGTCCACGTGCATATCCTGCCTCAGAGCAGTTGAAATAAATACCCGTTTGCATATCCGACCTGCAAAAAGCAAAAAGATTCATAAGAGTGAGAAAGCAGAGTTGGCTGCCTTGCACTGGGGGGTGGGGGGGCACTGGGGGTAGAGAGAGGCTGCTTAATGGGTAGGAGGTGTTCTTTTGGGGTGATGGAAATTTCTGGAACTAGACAGTGCTGGTCGTTGCATACTGTTGTGAATGTATGTAATGCCACTGAATTGTTCACTTTAAAATGGTTAAAATGGTAGATTTTATGTTATGTGTATTTTACCTCAATAAAAGAAAAAAGGCATCCTCTCCAGGGCTGGGGGGGTGTGGGGAAAGGGGGGCGTGCCGACAAGCACAGGGCTTCCCCAGGGTGCGCTTCCTCGTGGCTTTATAACTGAGATCCTCATCTTCTTGCTGCCCATAGGCCAGGAGCCTCTCTCAGCCACCCGCCCCCCAGCAATGGAACATCTCCCTCACACCAAACCCTCTCACACTTTGAATGTCCCCGCCAGGGAGGCCCTATCCCTTTCAGGTCAGGCCCATCGAGGATAAGGTCCCTTCCTTAAAATCATTATGTGAAACAGGCCCCAAGCCCGCGAGTGAGACCCCTTCCTATTGGTCATTCCTCCCCACTCAAGGGCAAGGGATACCCCAGTGGATCACTGGGGGTCGTCAGAGAATTCTGCCTGCCACCGTGTCCATCGATGGGGGACTTCTTCAGTCAACTAGGATACCTCCATGATCTCGAACACAAAGAATTTAAATAAAAGGAGATCATCTACGCAAGCTGTTGACAAACATTTCCCGTGAGGCATCAAGGGAAAAGAGCACATTGCAGAACTAGACATATATATATATAAATAAAATTTCACAGATGTGTACCATTTCACTTACACATAATTTCATTTTATCAAGAAAATTATATCTAGGCATGCCCGTGTGTTTGTGTTTGCGTGTGCATGGGCGCACAAAGTCTGGAAGAATACAGGTGTTGAGCTGCAGACCATTCATAGTCTGGTCTATATCCTTCCAGACTTTTTTCTTAATTTATATACTTCTGAACTACTAGAATTCATTCCATGGGATATCTGTTACTTTTGTAGTTAAAAAAGATTAAAGCATTAATAAGAAAAAGCTCATGAAGTAGTCACTAGTTTAATTTCCACATTTTTAAGGCACGTAAAGGAAAACTGGTCCACCCCCACAGGCCCTTTGATGTGATGACCCTGGGCATCCTTTTCAAGCCAGGCTCTTTCTTTTTAGCTTTGAAATACTCCTTTAGTGACTCTTGAACTTATTCATTGCTAAGTGAGAGATTCCAGCAATCAGTGTGGTGAGAACCTGGAACCATTCCCCCGGCACAGTGCTCTTCTCCAGGAGCAGGGACCAAATGCCTCTGCACAGGTGGGCGGCGGGCTGAAGCGGGTTGTCTACACTGGAGGTGAGCAGCAGCCGGAGATCGGAGTCAGGCTGGGAGGCAAGACCAAGCTACTCCTGGAAGGTCAGGGCAGGTGTATGCACACCAGGTGGCCGGCAGGGATGGGGGACCCCGGGAGGTGGCATGAGTCAGGCTCAGGGCAGAAAGTAGAAAAGATTCTAAGTATTTCTGGCAGAAAGCTGGTACAAGGTATCAGGTGCTTACAGGAGCAATGGCCATAGTCAGGACCCCCAGAGGCCGCAGGGCTGACCTGCCCGGGGAGCTGCCACGGGAACTGCCACACTTCGGAGGACTGAGCATCAGAAAGCTGTGGAAGAGACCATCGAGTCAAGGACACACCCTTAAAGCTGCAGCCCGGGGCTGAGAGCCCCCACGGCTGCCCTGCACCTCCCTTGAGACAGGTACCCATAGAGCTGGGAACCCAACACCAGCATCCCGATGACCTTGGGGCCAAGAGGAAACAGGCCAAAGAGACACAGCTCCATGTCCCCCCACCTTCCAAATCTCACGTGAGCACATCTAACTGGCACACCAGAACCCTATGGCAAGAGAGTTTGGGGAATTCATTTTTAACTTTTCAACAAAGTTAGAACCTATGCTGACTCCAGGGATCCTTACCCAGGAGGGGGGACAACATGCCGCAGGAGGTCAAGGATCCAGCCAGGGGCCTGGGAGTCGGGTTCCCAGCCCCAGGGGCAAGAACTTCACCACGGCCCCCAGTTTAGGTTTCTTAGATGACCCCAGGGGTCCTTAAGTATAGTGGTGGGGGTCAGGTTTCTCTGCTTTAGCCTTGGTGTGGCTACAAAGATTAACTCCTGCGAAGCTCACACTCTGATTATTGTTGATCATCCAAGTTGTATTGGCCAATTCTGTATCCGGGGGCTGCCATTATTAACCAAGCTCTGTGCTGAACGTTTCATGCATCACCGTGTATCAGATATTTTACAGCAAACTTAAAGGACAGGGACTGTGCTATTATTTAAAAGGTGATGAAACAGAGGCCCAGAGGAGTCGTGTAACTTGCCTGAGGTCACACAGCAAGTGAATGGCAGAGACAAGATGAGAACCCATTTATTTAACCATATGACATTTAATTAACGATGTGACATTGAGCTACCACAATTCATCTTCAATTTTCTTTTTAAAGGAGAAAACAAATCTGTGCTTCCTAAATGCAGTTTGGCAGACAATTGTTCCAAAATATGGGATGCATGGGGCCATAAACAATAAAAGGAATCCTTTGTCAGGGAGGAGCCAGAATCTACAGAACTAAATGATCCCTGGGGCTCCCTTTCAGAGCTAACATTCTGTTCTGAAAGCAAGCCTGCTTCCCCTATTACACAGCAGCTGGAACCTTCGCTGAAAGTGACTACCCACGGGGTCGGGGAGGTGGGGGGGTGCTGCTTCTTGGAGGATACTCTGCGAGCGCTCTTGAGGCAACCTGCAATATGGTCCCAGGGTTGCCATAGCAACTCCCCATCTGGGCTATTTCAATGAAATATAGGAAGCATCTTCTGCTTCCAGCCTGGTGTGGCTTTGAAGAGGGATTCCTTCATTCATTCAACAAATATTTAAAAGTGGCATCCTGGGGTGGCAAACTCGGATGCTTACAGGAATCAGACTGTTAACATCGAGGAGTTTTTGTAAAAGGGTAGCAGGGGATTAACCAAACACCGGGGGCTGTAGGGCCCTGGAAAGTGCACCGCCCCCCAATCCGTATGGGCACTCATCTCAGTCCCAGCCCCTCCCAGCCCAGCAAGAATGTGATCCCAGTGTTACAGATCTTCTTTGGATTTGTCAAGAACAGTCAAGAGCTGGGTTTTTAGGTGAAATCTTTCCATTTTTAGACATTGATGGCCAATTCAAAATTTGGGGTGGGGCTTCTGAGTACCGTTGTGCAGGTCGTGCACTGCTCTGGGGTCACCCGTCTTGTGTAAATTCAAGGGAACAGCGCTCTCTTCAGTTGTGCATTGGCAAACTGTGCAGTCCAACTGTGACAGAGGGGCCAGATCTGGCTGGTGGGTCACCAGCTTGCCAATCCCAACTCGAAATATCCAGCCATAGATGTTTGACTAAACTAATGATTGTACTACCATCCAGGAGAAGATAAACACCACGACTCTAGCAGTTTTCACGGATGTGAAAAAGCCCTCACCATATATTAGCAGGTGGAAAGAGTGGGTTACAAAAACATCAACAGAGTATAATCTCAGTTTTTTAAAATAAAATGTATATTCTCAGTTAAAGTGAAAGACTATACCCCTAAATGTGACAACAGTTACAACAACCACCTCTGGGAGGTGGAAGATCAGATCATTTTGATCTTTGTCTTTTTTTTTTTTTTAAGATTTTATTTATTTATTTGACAGAGAGAGCAAGAGAGCACAAGCAGGGGGAATAGCAGAGGGAAAAGGAGAAGCAGGCTCCCCACTGAGCAGGGACCCCCGTTACGGGGCTCCATCCCAGGACTCTAAGATCACAACACAAGCTGAAGGCAGATGCTCAACCATCTGAGCCACCCAGGCGGCCCTGATCTTTGTCTTCTTAATCTCTGTTCTCTAAATGTCTTGATGATGGCAAGTAATACTTAACAAAATGGAAAATGTTTTATTTCAAAAATTCTTCTGAAATGCAATCAAAGTTTCTTTTTATGGTCAAAAATAGTGGTCCCCAAACCCAAACGTGCATCCACATTGCCCTGAGTGTTTGGATGCAGACTTCCTGCCCACCCCCCGTCCGTGACTCCACCGCCCAGGGACCAGGCTCGTGGAATTTGCCTTCACCATACTTCCAGGTGACGCTAATGCAGTCCCGGACCCTACACATTATGAACCACCAGGAAAAGCCATCATTAGGTTCTACCTCAGCGAAGACTTTCTCATTAGAGTAGCTAAGAATCACTTGGCAAACTTGCTAAAAATACAGGTTCTAGGGACGCCTGTGTGGCTCAGTCTGTTAAGCGTCTGCCTTCAGCTCAGGTCATGATCCCAGGGTCCCGGGATCGAGTCCCGCATCGGGCTCCCTGCTCAATGGGGAGTCTGCTTCTCCCTCTCCCACTCCACCTGCTTGTGCTCGCTCTCTCTCAAATAAACAAATAAAATCTTTTAAAAAAAAATACAGGTTCTAGGATAATCCCCCAAATCATGGCCCACTGGGTGGGTGAGTGGGGTGCGGGAATTTTATCTGCATTTTAGCAAATATGCCGGATGGTTTTGCCATGGCCTGTCTGGGGACACCCTTTGAGGTACAAGCCCTTTTAGGTGGCACCCATTTGCTGAGTAGTCACTGGGCTCCGACTGTACGCCAGGCACCATGCCAGGAGCCGGCAGACCCGGACAGCTGCAGAAACAAGCCTCTGCCTTCTGGAAGTGACACGGGGCAGAGCCAGAAGCAGCAAGCACCCCCAGAGTTGGGTGAGGCAGCCTGGCAGAGGGTGCTGGGAGCCTCTGGAGACATTCTTCCTCTCGATCTTTCAGACCAACAGCGTGGGTCTCAACAGCAACCAGCCTCCTTTCAGTTGGTGTTTGGATCTTCAAACTCAAAACTCACGCCACTGGGCAGCAATCCGCCTGCTTGGCTCCTGGTTAGACCTCCGTAAACGGGCTTCTCACTTTGTCCCTTCGCTTCCCGGGACTCTGCCGTCAGTTCTATTTCAGCTAAAGTCACCTGTTCCAGGTGAGAAGTCTGATGTGTCCTCCCTGCCTTGCTGGGTGCGCTCTGTGAATTGTTTCAAAATCTGTCTCAACATCTGTATTCCAAACAGACAGGAAAATAGAAAAAACTAATCTAACGAATCCCCACCCGCCCATAACACAGATGCCTACTTTTATCGTATTTTCTTCAACTCTTTTAAAAATAAATGAAAGCAAAGACATGCAGCTAAAGTCTCACTCCGACGCCGCCTCCCTCCCTGGGACTCAGCACCCCTTCTCCCAGCACTCGAGGTACTTTGCTTGTATGTATATATTCACAACCGATATATCGTCTCATTGAAAATTTAGCTCCGGTGTAATCATTCCGCAGCCTTATCATTTCGCAAATTGCCTTTTACACCCACCTTGATGCTTTGGGATTTATGGGCATAATCCCATTATGTCTTGCCTGTGCATGCCACCACGGCTTGGCAGATCCTCAGCAGTGACCTCACACTCGGGAACTGCTGGGATAAGCCAACCCAAGAACATGTCGAGATCTGCCCTAGCTCTCTTGAATTGACAAAATAACCCATGGCCGAGTTAGCTCTCCGTTCAAAGGGGCCTCTTTTCTCCCATATCCCCCAGCTGCAGGGCAGCACCTCTCCCCCCGCCCCCAGACCAGGGATGGAGCTCCCTGCTCCAGGTCCCAGCCAGCCTCCTCCCAAGGCTCCTAGTCTGCAAGTCTCCGCAGAATGACTGGTAGGGCTCTTGGCCTCAGGGCATATGTTCTGCCCCTGCCCCTTCTGCCCCACCCAGAGGGACCCAAGGTCCCCCACCTGCCCCAGCCCTGGGGTGCACTCCAGTCTCTCTAGTGGTATCTTAAGGCCCCTCCAGAGACAATTAAAAGGGAGGAGCATAGGGGATGGTTGGAAGCCCCTGGAGGCCAAGGAGCTGGACGGGTGCACCAGATAGGTAGACAGATACATAAGATATGTCCTTGTCCTCCAAGGGCCGACCAGGGACAGAGCCAGAGGTGGGAGGGAGCCAGTTCCCAGATGAGGAAGCCGGGACCCCCCCTCTCCGCCCCTTTGCCCAGTTGGGCGCAGAACAGATCTGACCCAGTGGGAGCAGGTGTGGGTTCTATGTTTGGCTTGGAAAACAGGTGAGGCCCACCTGTTCCAGTTTACCGAACACCGATTGTTGACTGAGCACCTACTATGTGAGAGGCACTGGGGAGACCGTCCCCGCCCTGGAGAGGGTCACGGTTAGTGGGGGATGGGGAGAAGCAAATAATATAAGGAAGTATCCTGGGCTCCTCTAACTCTGACCACCGACGACAGGGAGGCTGAAAACAAGAGAAACGTCTTTTCTTACAGCTCTGGAGGCCAGAGGTCTGAAATCAAGGTGTGGCCCAAGCTCCAGACGCGGGTGGCTCCGGGGACACTGCTGGCTCACCCCCCAGCTGCTGGGGCTTCAGGTGTCCCTCCTCCGATCCCTGCCTCCGTCTTCACCCGGCCTCCTCCTCTGTGCCTCTGTCTCAAGTCTCCCTCTGCTCTCTCTTACAAGGACCACCTGCCATTGCATTCAGGGCCCATCCAAAATCCAGGATGATCTCATCTGAAGATCCTTTAACTTAATTTCATCTCAAAGGCCTTATGGCCAAACACGGATGTGTCTTTGGGGACTGCCATTCAGCCCATGACAGAGTGTGGGGGTACCTTCTAGAAGAAGCAGATCAGAGCAGAGACCAGTCGCTGTCTAGAGGGACAGAGTGAAGGAAGGACGACTGGATCAGGGGTCCAGGGAGGGAAGTGCACAGAGTCCTGGTCTGAGAAACCAACAAGGCCTACCTGGCCCCTTGTTCCCCGGAAGCTTAGACTTGACCCCAGGGCCAGGAAGCACTCCTGGGGCGGGGGTGGTGTTAGCAAAGGGCTGATACGGAGCTGCAGTCTGGGGAGCAAAATTCTCTTCTAAGTTTAGGATGAGCTTTTCTGATGGGCAAGGAAAGGCCTGAAATTAAAGCATAATGTTGGAAAGAAATAAGTTCTAAAAATGCCTTTTAGTTTTATGACTTAAGAACTTACACTGAAACATAAAGCGAGTCTTGGAGGTGCCCGGGCTGCTCTGGGCTGGGAGGCACGTGGGTGCTGAGGGCAACAGCAGGTGCCAGGCAGGCTCACACACGAGATTCCTCCAAGTCTTGAGCGAGCACAGGTGTGGCGGGATTCCTCCCCTGACTCTTCGTGGTGTCCTGTGGCCTCTGTCCCGTGAGGTCCTGCGGAGCCAGGTGAGGCCAATCAGTCACTTTCATTGGGCAGAAGGTTGGTGCTCACTCATTCATTCCTGAGTGGCAGACCCGCAGCGGGGGCTAATGAGAAGCTGCTTAGGACGACCTGCGGCACCTGGGTGGCTCAGTCGGTTAAGCGTCCAATGATCTCAGGGTCATGATCTCAGGGTTGTGATCTCAGGGTCGTGAGATCAAGACCTGCATCGCATCGGGCCCTAAGCTGGACTCGGAGCCTGCTTGGGATTCTCTCTCCCTCTCCCTCTGCCCCGCTTGCTCTCGTGCTCTCTCTCTCTCAATAAATAAATCTTTTTTATTTTTTTATTTTTTAAAGATTTTATTTATTTATTCATGAGAGACAGAGAGAGAGAGAGAGAGAGAGGCAGAGGGAGAAGCAGGCTCCCCGCTGAGCAGGGAGCCCGATGCGGGACTCGATCCTAGGACCCTGGGATCATGACCTGAGCCGAAGGCAGACGCTTAACCATCTGAGCCACCCAGGCGCCCAATAAATCTTTTTTAAAAACGGACTCCCTGGGTTCAAATCCTGCCTCACTTACTAGGGGTGTGTGGCGGACTGTGTTTCTGTTCACAAATATTTGGTGATATATCCCTGCCCCTCTGAACTTCAGCCTAGCCATATGCCTTGCCCTGGCTACTCCATAGGGAGGTGAAGTGTCCTGCCTAAGATCCTGCCTCTAAGTGGTGGAGCTGCGACTGGAACCCTTCCACTTCGCCTCGTGCTGGCTCCCAGCGCCAGCCCAGCCCTTCCCCCCACCGGGGGCGGCCGGGAGCCCCTCTCAATCCCCATCCAGGTGTCAGCCTGCTCTGGTAAAACACACCACAGAAGGCATTTGTGCTCTCTTCCACGCCAGACCCAGAGCTGTAATGGTGGGACCCTGGACAGTGGCACTAACGAGCAGGGATAGAAGGATCTAGATGCTTTGTCACTGCCTTGGTGTCAGGCTGGAAGCGGCTCACAGCCCAGCCCTTCCCCAGAGCAAGGATGGTCTTCTGGAACCACTTAAAGAGTGGCCATCATAATACGTAGAGAATATCCTCGTGCTGCGTAGTTGGCGCGGTCCATCTCATTTGTTGTCCTCGAAGTGTGTGAGGGAACAGCGTGGTCTGAATGTGTGTGTCCCCCCCATGCACATGGTGGAATCCTAAGGCCTGGTGTGATGGTGTTAGGAGGTGGGACCTCAGCGGGGGGCGGGGTGGTGGTGAAAGGGTCATGCATGTAGAGCCCCCAGGAATGGGATTCGTCCTTGTAAAGGAGACCCCATGGAGCTCCCTCACTCCTTCCAGGTCGAGAACCAGGGGAGGGCCCTCAGCTGACCACACTGGTGCCCCGACCTTGGACTCGTGGCCTCCAGACTGGAAGAAGTAAATCTCTGCTGTTTATAAGCATTCGGCCTGCGGTATTGTGCGTAGCAGTCCGGCTAAGACAGAGAAGTACCGTGGTCACGGTCCTGGCTTTGAGAGGAGGAAACTGGAGCTCAGAGGGTGAAGGAACCGGCCACCTCCAGCCCGACTCGGCCTGAGCGTAGAGCTGCCTCCTGGCCCAGGTGGTGCCCTCTTCACAGCGGACCTTTCGGTTCCTGTTTTGGCCTCTCTTCTGCAGCTCACTGACAAATGGGGACCAGGAAGCGGCGAGGGACTGTGATGAGGACCACCTGTCCTGGGACGGGGGCAGCAGGGGGCCTGCTCCCAGCAGGGTGGCACCCGGGGCTGAGCTCCTTCCAGCCTCGCAAAGCCCCCTGGAGAGTCAACATCCATCAGGAGCCCGGGTAAAGCGGAGAAACAGAAGCCTCCCCCAAGGATCAATCAGCTAGGAGCCGCGACCTCCCGGGAGGGCACAGAGACACGAGGGCAACGATCGGGGTCGCCTCTGTCCCACCCCCACCTAGGTCAGCCCCTGAGCAGGAGGGTGCCCCAGCCCTGGCAGCATGCCTGGCCACAAACAAGGTCACACATGCCTTGGCACTCCCCCCACTGAAAGGTGAGGTCAGTGTCCCCTCCCCTCGAACTTGGGGAGCTCATGACCCCTTCCCCAGTAGGGTCTCGCAGAAAGGCTGCTATGGGACTTCTGAGGCTCAGAGGCCATACAGCCTCCCCCTGGTCCTCGGGGACGCTTGCTCTGGGGGAAGAGGTCCACAACCCTGACCCCGCCGGGCCAGAGGGGGAGGCCATGCTGGGCGCTCAGATCCACACCCCGCTGAGCTGCTGGACAACCACCTGCATCAGATGCCAGCAACCAGGACGTCCGACCAGTGGATCTGACCTCAACCAAACGAGACCCCTGCCAGTGAGAACCACCTCACCGAGCGCTTCCTAAATTCCTGCCTCACAAGATCAAGGGCAAAATAAGATGGTGGTGGTTGTACATCATTTGATTTTGGGTAATCTGGAGCACGTGTTGAATGACCAGGTAAAGTAATTCAGAACGCATCTAAGCAGAGACTTGAGTCCCCAGAGCTCCATCCCCAACCCCTCCGTCAGGGCTCAGGGCTCAGGGCCGGCCCAGAGGGCAGCGGGTGGAGGTAGTTCTAGGCAATGTTACCCGATACCTACTCGGTGCTGGTTACAGGGATAAAGACATGCACAGGCAGGGCCTCTCTCTGCCCTCAAAGACCTCACAATCCCATCAGGTGCCCTCTGAAATCCCAGCAAAGGCCCGAGCTGCTACTTTAGATTCAAACCCAGTTCCTTGACCCATAAACCCAGCTTCACCCTCTTTGCTCTTGCCCGGAGCAAACATCCCCATGGAGCCTTTGTCCATAGTCCCCTTGTCCCCCCAACCCACCCCCTTTGCCCACCTCACTGCTCCTCTCCTTCAGGTCCCAGGTGGTGTCACCTCCTCGGGGAAGCCCTCCTTGATGCCTCTGACCAAGCCCAGTGTCTTTACAATGTTCCCTCCCAGAGCCTGGCTTTTCTTCCAGAAGGCGCTTATCCTTATCTGTAATTGTCCCGAGTTCTCTGACCAGAACTAAAACCCACATGCTACAAAGCCGACCTAGTTTGGCTCCCTCTGTTCTGGGTGTAGGAAAAATCTGGGGCATGCAGAGCTAACAAGACCTAGTGGTGGGCCTGACATAAGGAGACCTGAGGCCCTACGGGACATCTTCCTGATCCTTGCCGTCCCTTCTGCCTTGCGACCCATCCCAGCAGGTACCATTGCTGCTGATTTTGCAGATGAGGAACCTGAGGCCCAGAGACGTTAACTAACTTGCCTGAAGCCACAGAGCTGCAAGCACGGGGAGGGGGAGGAATTGGCACCCAATCGTGGCTGGGGGCGGGCTGGAGGGCGGCCTTGCCCACACCTAGCAGGGCTCCTTCCCACTCTGATTTCGGGTTCTGCCCCATCCCCACCCCACACTCAGCTCCTCACACCTGGTCGCCTGTATGTCTGAGGCTCCTCTAGCCTGATTCTGGTTTTCCACCGGGCTGGCGTGCTGGCAAGTCCAGTTTCTGAGCTCTAGAAAAACCCCAGAAAGGCTGCTTTCTCTCAGCTTTTCCTGAAGATGGAGTGGAGGATTCTGGCCACTCGGGAGATCCCACAGTCCCGCAGCACGTCACCGTCCCAGCTACAGCGCCAGGGGCATGGGGAGACCTGGGTTCGAATCCCAGCTCTGCACTTGCTAGTTGGGCAGCCTCAGGGGACTCACTCTGTCTCCCCAAGCCTCAGTTTCCATAAAACAAGGACACAAGCGGCGCCTTTTTCTTCAGGTTGTTGTGAAAAATTAAATAAGCCACAGAATATGAATGTGCCTCGCCCCCAGTGACGCCACGAATGTCTGTTAGATTTGAATATGACGGCGGCCTTCGTGTGTAAGTCAAGAAAGCAGCATTTTCACACACGCCAGACAAACCTGTTTTTTGAAAAACAAAAAAAAATTTATTTCTGTAAACTGTTTGAGGGCAGATGTTCTTCACAACCCCAAGACAGCACAGATTTCCTACCCCCAAATGAAATGAGCAAGGAAAAGAAGAAAAAGAACAACACAAACTGTGCTCATGAAGAACCAAGCCAATCTCATCTTTCTCTGGGAAAAAAAAATCCTTTTGAACGCGTGGTGCCCACCCGGGAGGAACACCACAGACCTTCTCGTGCCACGAGGGCAGGGACCCGCTTAGTGGCAGAGCTGGCCCCCCCCCGGCGCAGAGGGCCTCCCCGAAAGCGAGGAATCGGCCCCCAGTTCTACCTGAATTCCCGCTGTGCACCCTGGCCTCCCTCCCAGGCGTCCTCACCGGGGGAGCCCCTGAAGGGAACCCTGAAAGATTCCTCGTCCCCACTGGACTCGGCCCCGCGCCCCCACTCCATGCTGCGATGAGACCTCAAGCCCAAGGGTAGGAATGAGCCACTCCAGACCGTGTGCCCAAGCCGCAGCTGGGCAACTGTTAAGGCAAATTTTCTCTCTTCCGTTGGGTCGGAGTCAGGCCTGAGCGTCTCACTGCCGAGCACCGTCCCCGTTGGACGGATGCGCAGCTTAGGCAACTCTGAGTCGGGGGGTGAGGGACCCTGAAGCACGCTCGGGGGTGGGGGTGGTCTGAGCCTGATGCATGGGATCGACGTGTGTGCTGGAGACGGCGGCCCCCCGACGGGCACAGCGGCCTCCTCCACCAAGCAGGCGGGCGCCACGGACACCAGACGGCGGCCCAGACCCCCAGGCGACGCGAGCTGGTGGCGGGAGAGGCCAGGCGGGATGCAGTGTAAGAGAATGCCAGAAAAAGGGGGCACCACAGGAGCCTCAGATCTTGGTGATGTGCGTGGCCTTGGCATCAAAATGATTTTTCCTTAGAACAAGCAAGAGGGGGAGAAGGAAAAGGAGATAAAAGAAAGATGTTCCATGAGCTTCGGGAGATAGGGCGCAGGGGGGCTCGGGAGGGAAGCAGGGAAGGGGAGATGAGCCGCAGACAGGGTGGCGCGCGTGGCCTCGCACGGCGTCTCCTGTCCCTGGTGGGCTGGCGGGCTGGTGGCTGAGGCCGCGGTCCCCTTCCCCGGGGAGCAGGCGGATGACATTGCAAGGGGCAGGGGAAGGGCTGGGGTTACTCCGTCTGTGCGTCGTAATTGGCGCCCCCCGCCTTCTTGAGCTCGCTCTTGATGAAATCTTCCTCCAGCTCCTTCCGATCGCTGATCACAAACTCTTTAGCAAAATTCTGCAAGAACAAAATAAAACACAGAGTTCCCGTGAAGAAGGGACAGGATCAAAGTGTTGCTCAGAAAACACACCAGAAAGTCCTGGCACCCAAAATACTAAGAAATGATCAAAATGAAAATCTGGTGGCAGCGTGGTTTGGCAAGAAGAGGAAAAACCGTGACTGGAGATCAGGAAATGGGTGAAGTCAGGATACGGTGTAGTCCCGACCAAGGCGATGGGCCAAGGTCAGACCGGGCTCGAATGCTGCGCTGTCATTTTCTGGCTGTGTGACCTTGGGCAAGTTCCTTCAACTCTCTGTGCCTTAGTTTCCTGGTCTGTGAAAGACCAACCTGTCAGAATAATAGGAGAAGAGGCCGGAAAGACAGGCGGGTGTGCTGGGAAGTGTTTAACATCAGGCTGTTCCAAAATGAGGGGTGGGGGCAAGTCCTGAACAGAAGCTTGTGCTCATTTCCATGGTGTGAACATTTGCACCAAGGTGGGTTTCAGCCACAGTGATGAGCTGAATCCGTGCAGACACTGTCTGCCCTCGGAGCGCACAGACTTCACCATAAGTTCCCCCGGGCCTGGCCCCTGTGAGGTACTCAATAAATGCCTGTGGCGTGAACGCCTGAGGCAGGTGATCTGGCTTATCTGAGAACTCCGAGCCACGAAGAATCAACAGTTATTTTGATATGTGGATCACGAGACTTCACCAAACAAGGATGGTGAAAGAGAAGAAAACACAGAAATTTACCAAAATACGAGTAACATGTCTGAAGGTCAGAAAATCCTCCATACACACACACACACAAAATCCACAAGGAAATAGTGTAAACAATGACCACCATTTATTTTTTTTTTAAAGATTTTTATTTATTTATTCATGAGAGACAGAGAGAGAGAGAGAGAGGCAGAGGGAGAAGCAGGCTCCCAAGGAGCAGGGAGCCCGATGCGGGACTTGATCCCAGGACTCTGGGATCATGACCTGAGCCGAAGGCAGACGCTCAACCATCTGAGCCACCCAGGCGCCCCAATGACCACCATTTATTAAGCACCTGTGGGTACCAGACATGGTCACACTTGGCAAACTTAATTCTTTTTTATATATATATATATTTTTAAAGATTTTATTTATTTATTTGAAAGAGAGAGAATGAGAGAGAGCACATGAGAGGGGTTAGGGTCAGAGGGAGAAGCAGACTCCCTGCCAAGCAGGGAGCCTGATGCGGGACTCGATCCAGGGACTCCAGGATCATGACCTGAGCTGAAAGCAGTTGCTTAACCAACTGAGCCACCCAGGCACCCATGGCAAACTTAATTCTTAAAACCCTTTAAGATGACCCAGCAACTCTACCCCTAGAGATCTACACAAGGGAAATGAAAGCACACATCCCCACAAACACTTGCACACGAATATTCCCAGGGGCATTATTCATAACAGCCCAAAAGTGGAAACCACCCAGATGTCCATGGGCAGAAGAGCAGGTAAATAAATTATGGTCTGTCCACATGATGGAATATTACTCAGCCATAAAAAGGAATGAGTTGTTGATACACAGTATCATGGATGAGTCTCAAAACCATCATGCTGAATTGAAAGAAGCCAGACATAAGATCACGTACTGTATCATTCCCTTTACATGAAATGTCTGGAAAAGGTAAATCCACAGAGACACAAAGTAGATTTGTGGTTTTCGGGGACTGGATGGGGAATAGGGGGTGAGTTCTAATGGGGATGGGTTTTCTCCTGGGGAGGGGGGATGAAAATGTTTGGGAACTAGATAGGGATGGTGGTTGCACAACACTGTGAATGTACCAAATGCCAATGAATTGTATAATTTAAAATGGCTAATTTTATGTTATGTGAATTTCACTTCAATTAAAAAAAAAAGACTACAGAAAAAAAGTCACCATGCCTCCAAGAAGAATGAGTAAACCAAGAGAACACTCAAGGTCAAGTTTCACAGTATAAAGACAAACCATTTGCCATACCAAGCCACTAAGATTCTAACAGGGAGGGGAGAAGGGAAGGTTAATATTTGTCAAGCAACTCATATGTGCCAGGTGCAGCCTCATACATCTCACTTAATCCTCCCTCAGCATGTTAGCTTTTTTTTTTTTTTTTAAGATAAGACCCACGGGGTTGGGCTTGAAGAGATTGTGTAACTAGCCCAGAATGACTAAACATCCTTCTGACCCTTTCTATTCCCATCCACCATCCTGTGCTTAAAATTTTAAGCATCGCTGTCTGTGTTCAGTATAGTGAGTGAACACAAGTTGGACGTATGGGCCAGGAAGGGGAACCGAGAATTAACGTGTTTCTCAACCTGAGCCCCAGTGGCAGTGGGGGGAGGGGCAGAGAGCAGAGGAGGAGGAAGCCAACAGCTCGAGATGCCTCTAGCAGGAAGTGCAAAGTTCCCCTGCTGTGTGATAGCTATATATGGTGACAAAAGAAATAAGAACACTCCTGTTCATGTCTGTTAGCCATTAGGAGATTTAGATTAACAAGAAGTTTGATAAGGCACTAAGAAATCTACAGTGAAACTGTGCACGGAGCTATGCAGAGTCCAACTGAAAACCACCAGCATATGGGAAATCAAATCACAGCCAAAATAAGGAGCAATCCAGAATAACAGAATCTAGTAAAAACGTAACATAACAATAAATGTAAATGAGCAAAATTATCCCCCAAAACAGCTATGTCTTAGACTATCAAAAAACACCCCCCCCAAACTCTATGCTAGATACCAGAGACATGATTTAAAAACCAAAAGGTGAGGCAAAAAATGATTATACCAAAAAAAGTACACAGAGAGGCAACCTCACCTGCTCTCACTATGGGAGCAGCATCCGCCCTCCAGGGGGCCAAAGGAGTGGGAGGGCATGGAGACACGTGGAGGGGCCGCCCCCACACAGGATGCTCAGCACCCCCAGAGGCTTCGAAGGTGAACTGACACTTCCCCTCAGGGTGTGGATGCTACAAAAAGTCCCCAAAAGGTCTGAGTCAGCCAAAACCCAACTCAACATCGACCCCTCCCTTCCCCATCTCGGTTCCTTCCAGCAATCCTCAGAAGGGACCTTGCACTTGGCAGGGTGAACACCAGCGCCCCCAGGGAGTGGGCTTCATTGTGACATTTCAAAAAGAGGCAGAAACAGCAAAACCAGCTGTGTAGGCAGCCGGACCCCCAACCTGGAAGCAACACACCGGACGGCAAGGAGCCTGCATAAGGACTAGCCCACAGCTGAGAACCACAAAGAGCACATCTGAGCAGGGCCCGACCACCACCCCCCTTTGCTCACACCTCTACCCTTAGCCACTGTCCCTAGCACCTTCCCGCTGTCACCAAATGCCTACAGGGCAGAGGCAGGTGATACCAAAGGCCGCAGTTGTCAGAAGGAGACAGGGCCCAGAGCAATGCTAACACATAGGGAATTTTTCACTTTCTAGCAACCACGTTGAAAAAAAGTAAAAAAGAACCTGGTGATAGCAATTTTCATAGGATTTTTATCTAACTTTACAGATCCAAAATGCTGCCATTTTAACACGTAACCAACGTACAAAATCATTAATGGGACCTTCCACGGTTCGTTTCTGTGTAGGAAGTTTTTGAAACCCAGTGCACATTTTACACGTACAGCACAAAGCAGTGCAGACGGGCCAAACCTCAAGTGCTCAGCAGCCCCGTGAGGCTGGTGACGGGGCGGATCCAGATAGAACAGGAAAGAGTCTGAAAGAATAATGTGCTCAGTCAAGGAGAATCATGAATCATAAAATAGCTCAACTGATATGAGTGGAGGAGGGGGAGCTTTCGGAGGCCTGGAAATGGGCCATATCTTGATCCAGAACTTAAAAAAAAAAAGTCCTTAAAACTCTGACATTCACCCCCCATCTGATTGAAAAGCAGCAAGAGATGCATTCCTCCCAGGGCACACAGCAGCTTCACGGCAGGGGCCCTGTGGGGCAGGTTCTGACCCTGGTCTGTCCTGTCCCCTCCCTTCCTCTGCTCCAGACCACCCATCCCTCCCACCACAGCCTCTGTCATACCCTCAAGGCCACAAAGCCACATGGCAACAGCTTCAAAGCAAAAGGTGCCGGTCTGGAGGCATGGTCACCTGTGGTTCTAGAAAGATCTTCTCTGTCATATTTGGGAACACTCTGTCCCTGGCTGATAGCTTCCAGAAAGGGTCACTCCTCCCTCTTTTCCATGGAAGAGGCCCATGCATCTAAACCTGACTCCAGGATGTCCTTGAGACATGCAATACCAAGTTCAGGACGCATTTGTCCCTGTGACTTTTCTCAAGTGCATATATGTTCATATTTCAAAGATGTAAGACAGACATTGCTTCCATTAGAAGCTTCCAATGGTCTGTCCCTAGGAAGGCAACTCTAGAGAAGGACAGGTTAGAACCAGGCTCTGTACATAGTCTAGAATCTATTTGCGAGACTGGTTTAAAAAGTGTTTAAATATTTGCCTGTCTTTTGTTTTAAACCATCTCACTTTTTTTTTAATTCTTTTTTTTTAAGATTTTGTTTATTTATTTATTTGACAGAGAGAGAGAGAGCGTGGAAGCAGGGGGAGTGGCAGACAGAGGGAGAGGGAGAAGCAGCCTCCCTGCTGAGCAGGGAACCCCATGCAGGACTCGATCCCAGGACCTGAGCCCAAGGCACACATTTAACCACCTGAGCCACCCAGGTGCCCCACCTTTTTTTTTTTTTTAAGTAGGCTCCACACCCAGTGTGGAGTCCAATGTGGGGCTTGAACTCACAACCCTGAGATCAATACCTGAGCTAAGATTAAGAGTTGGGCACTTCACTGACTGAGCCACCCAGGCGCCCCTAAACCATCTCACTTTTAAACAGCTCCCAACTGCCTGGGTTTAAACCCCAGCTTCAGTCCTGAAGTGTGCTGGGCGTGGGTTTGGTCCAAACACAAACAGGAACAGTTGTCCACTTGCATCTCGGGCAGTTGGCCCTCCCCAGGGTCTTCCCCTCCCCCGCCACCCTGGGACTGACCACCC